CCATTAATTTGCGACGGAAATGAAGTTGATATTCGTGTTCAGCGCATCAATATTTAGTGTAGTAAATAGACAACTGGTAGCTGAGTGTGAGACGGGAGGGAAAGTAAAAAAATACCCTCTGATCTAATCTAGATCTATATCTAGATTCTAGATCTAGAAATAGATCTCCAGATTCTAGATCTAGAATCAAGGCTAGAAAGTCTAGATCTAGATCTAAAAGTCTAGATCTAGAATCTAGATCTAGTAGATGTCAGTGAACAGAATTGGTAAACAGAAAAATGATATTCTGATGCATGGATGAGGACGGAGCTTACCATTGGATCTGGAACTGAAGTAAGTAACATCTGGTTGTGGTTTATAATATTTATTATTTAATATTCTATACACAAGAGAATCAGAAGGTGAATGATTTCAATCAAGACGTTTCCTCCTTGGCCTTGGAATTTCTACCACCGTTTCAAGACCTACGCCCACAGTCTGCCACAGGGGTTCTCCTTGATCTAGACTACAGCACTCTAAAGAATCTTGATGCTATAAAAAGAACCCCATAGAGTAAACAAACAGAATTATTTTATAAAACACATGCCAAAAAGTAAAAAAACAATGTTGTTACAACGAGCACTGCGATACAAAGTCGGACATGGCACACCTTGAAATCGACTTTCCTGAAAAACAGCCTGCTCATCTTTTGACAAAATTACAAGTCACACCAATATTACGTTACACCTACCAGGAAGAAGGAACACGTTGCGTCAGCTGCTATTAAACAAGGGCAGGAACCCTTACAATCCGAACAAAAAATAGAATGGCACTTTCCAATATATATTGAAGAGAACAAAAGCAATCAATGATCCATGGATTGTTGTTGCTTTCTTACCATAAATAAACAAGCACCTTGACCAGTTACTGTGACTCCAGCTGACCTGGACTGGAACTTGCCAGTTGAGTTGAGTTGCCAGAAATCAAAAATGGCGAGACGGCAGACGAACCGCCAAAATAAGTCATGGAAATGACAAAGTCGGCCAAAGGGTTTGACTTCGTCGAAAAAGGATAGAGGAATAGGAGAGGAAACTTCTAAGAAAGGCCTTGATCATAGACTATAGAGGGCGGCCAGGGAGAGTGTAGGGGAGCGGGAGAGGAGGAGGACAGGACTCAGCGAGGGCAAACTTGTAGTAGGCCTACAGAAGTCGTTTTTTGTTGTTTGGGGG